CCTACCGACGCAAGGCAGATCCCAGGCTATGAACATTATTTCTATTCTTGATGTTTGACAAAAGTGTTTATTTCTATGTTATCCAGTTTTTAATATTAAATACAGATAAATCATTCATTCAGTACATAAAGTAAATATTTGAATTTAACGTTATCATCAACTTTGAGAGGTTTTTCTTTGTCCAACATCATTTACGACATTTACCTGATTCGGGTTTTCTTGTAAGGAGACTCTTTTCATTTCATTCAAAGGTGCGACGATAAATACACATTACCTGTATTTTAACCAGATGTGTTATCAAAGAAAAGATGCAGGAACTAAAAGCGTTTCTATAGATGGTTAGCAATTTCCTTTTGTGTTCAAATCGTTTTTAAAAGAAACGATTATTTGTTAAAACACACCCAGAATTTACTATTCTATAACCAAGAATAAAATGCTTAGATTTGAAAACGTGTAAGTGAATATGGTTTTAGACAACTTAAACAGAAATTTTGTAGGTACATGTATATTAAGCTGTGGGTATAGAGAAATGATCGTAGTATAAATATACACTTTTTCAAAAAAGAATAAAAAAATCTTGCATAAAAATCTGTAACATGAAACAACAACTATTACTTGGGTTTTTGGAGCGGTATTGAATGTAGAAATAACAAGTTGCACGTTTTTTCCCGACCAAGCAGACACCTATTCGTTTCTCAACTTATCAAAAAACAGAAACTGGTAAGTGTCCGACTGATCCAGGTGCGCATACGTTACAATTCTAGCTGCTGGTCATATACGAAGTCATTTTGTTTAGCAGTGCTGGGACAGCTCCGGAAAGAGTTCACACGTTACAACTCGTCACTGTTGAGCTGCTGACCAAATATGAAGTCGTTCTGTTCAGTAGTACATGAGAAACTTGGGTTTGACAAATATTTGTTAACCGAACGGAAAAACAAATGATATGCAATATCGCAGAAGAGGGATAAAATTACATTGCAACTTAAATGAAAGCGCTTCCTTCTATTAATAATAAATGAAAACTTCGAAGATTTTTTATTTCTAAATCCAAGCTGTCTCGACAATATCGCACATGTTGTTACAGCATTTAAAGAGATCAATTTTTGGCTTCGGGGTTAAAATGCCTGAACTGGTTCGTGATGAGTAAATGTATAAATATTATGGTTGCAATGTTTTCTTTCCATTGTTGAGGAGACCAACAAGACTCTTAAATCCGGACTTGTTTTACCTACTACTCCATCAAAATGTAAAGTCAATAACATCAATTTATGTTTAAAACACGTTACTCCTTGGCAACCGGGCAGAAGATAACTTGCTTACTGATTTCCCCATACAAGAAAAACCCACCCGCAACGTCCGTCTCAAGGACTCCATATATGTATCTCTTTTGAAAAATTAAAATAGATATATCTCAAATCATTATTTTGAACTATTTGAAAAAATGAAAAGGCGGAAATTTACCCTTAAGATAATAACAAAGGACTCCATCAATGATAGCAACCCACGTAGTTCTTTTAGAAATCATTTTTTATGAAATTAAATTTTTGGTATCAGTTTCAAGAATCTGAAGGTCTTCTAGTAAATATTGCGTGTATGTCGGGTACAGCTATCTGGATGGGGCCTTGAAAGTGACACTAATTGTCGAGTTTTTTTTTTTATCATTTTCATCAATCGGTCTTTTAAACTTTAGTCTGAAGAAAAGATACTGTAAGAAATTGATTGGGAAATGAAATTTTGATACAAAAATTTACATCTTTTGTGATATTTTCAATTTTGATAAGAACATTAAGAACATAGTGGGATTAAAAAAAAATGAAATATCGATAACTGCCGCGTCTCGTCTTGTTTTTTATGCATATTTGACGTGTTGGTATACGTACTCCACATTCTAAACCATATTTCCAATCTCTCCATATATTCAGTTTATATTTGTGCACGTAATGATTGAAAACTTTAAAGATAAAACGTAATTTTATTGAATGTTTAATCAATATTTGGACACCATCTTATTAAATCTTAATAACTGATAACAATGCCGCTGAAAATCTTGCATAATTCCAACCATAAGCTCAGTTCTGTCATCCCCAGTAGATAAGGCACATAACCAAAACTGGTCCTGAGAACGTAACATCTGAAATCTCGCGATCCTATTCTTTTATCTTGTCTGCACTTAAATTCGTGCAGCAGAGAAGGAAGGTCTCGTCATCTGTGCAGTTTCTCATCTTCTGTGCGTGTTATCTGCATTATAACTGTTGAATAATATTCTTACTGCGAAGATTTTTGTCATTCCATATATTTAAAGAATACTATTTATTTATTTTGTTATTCTTTCTTCTTCCTCATTTTAATCAAGTATAAATAAATTGATGAGTAGTTGGTCTAAATCAATAAGTAGTGTAAAAACGCGCGAAGTATAGTAGTACCAGTTAAAGTTGCGCACATTCATATATGACAGTTCATAACTTTGCGCATAAAAATAGTACTAATTTGCATCTTTGCACATGTGATGATGTATTCCCCAACCGGATACATAGTGTGGATTCAACTTCAGCATACACATCCCTCAATATCGCGTATAAAGATGGCTGACGTAAAAATAAATCTTAAAAAGTGCATTTTAATTTAACGTTTTACGACTTATATATTTTCGCGTGACGTTTAAGGACAGGAAAGTTTATTGTCTTAATAAGAAAAAATAGAGCTGAAATAGTTGTTGTTTATATACGAGAGTGTCGGGTGGAGATGAAAATACTCGGGTAACCACTATTGTATTGTTAAGAGATGCTACTCATCTTAAGATTGCTGAATCACAAATAATAAAGAGAGGCCATAAAGGGGAAAAGTTTCGTTTTATACAAATAAAATGTAGTCTGAAGAGGAAGAAACTATCATAAAACAAAGATGAAGAGATCAATAAATCGATAATTTTGTAAAATTTCTTCCTGGTAAATATTACATGGTGAAAGCAAACATAAATTGTTATCCTTCGGTATATGTATCACCTTTGAGAAGTTGAAGTGGTCTGATACCCGTATTATAAATCATCAACCTTGGTCAACATCTTGTTTAAATAGTAACAAGTGATGCAGATAAAAAACGCCTTAGTAACCCAAGATTATCCAGGGTAATTGTGAGAACGAGATCATAAATATCTACCCAATTTATCATCAACTACACCACGACAATACAGCATACACATTGATGTGAAAAATGAAACAAGGAAACAAATCATAATATTTTGGCATCTTGCATCTATACCTGTAAATACCTTTAACTGGTTCAAGTGTGAAGCTGAAATGTTCCACGTATCAACTCAAGTTCTATTGTGCTCAAGTGTATTTTAAACATCTTTAGTTGGAAAACTATATAAAGTTTGAGTGGAAAATTCTTAGGCCTTTTTTATTTTCATTTTACAAAAAAAATAAGTCATTGTTTACACACAGCTAACAAATGATGTGCGCATTTAAATTCGTATTTTATTTTTGTTAACTTTGAACTCATGCGAAATATTAATTTCATGGAATTTGTCCGTAATGAATAACTTTGTTTCGTTTTATCTATATTTTTTTGCTTTACCATCCAATTTGTATACGTATATATGCGTTATATACACATCAACTATGAAAAACATTCAAGTGCATGTGTCAAACTAAAATTTCTTATCAATATTGGATTATTTATCTAATTGATTATTTTAATTAATAACTTTTTGTGGAACTAAATTGGCATTCTATAAAATTTTGTTACATTATAAAAATGTCGTCAAGATAAGTTGTCAACAATATGCCATATTAATGTCACTATCTACTCCACTTCTGAAACAGTTGATGAAACAATGTTAAATACTTAATTGCTTAAGGTTAATTTTATCTTTATTGTTGTTAGACAATAAGTGTTAAAATTTGGACTGAAAAAGACTTAAGATTTCTATGGAGATGTCTGCCTTGGGCAAATCTGGACAATAAGGTTTTACACTTTTTACACAATGACATTTAATCACCTTAAAGTCGGATTTTGACGTTTAACATCAAGATTTAATTGCATTAAATAATACAAACATCAACCCGGCAAATTAATACTTTAATTAAACAAAAATTAGATAGATGTGTTGGGAAAGAAATTGTTTTCCACCCAGAATGAATAAATTTTTAACTATTTTAAAGTGGTACTTCATTTTTTGCAGCGATCTTTGATTTTGATTAACATAATTCGCCATCACTCAGCAGCAGCAGATTTTCAACACCGACACAAAATGTCATCTTGAATTTCAAATAAGTTGCATTTAAAAGGAATACAGAGACCACTTTTCTAAAAGTTAGTTGAGGGCCACAACAATGCTTGGCAATTTCATATAACAATGGCTGCATTCTCTGGAATTATCCCCTATTTTTTTGCATCAATTACTAACAGCTTCACCTGCTGAATAGCTACACCTTTCCGTTGTTAAATGCGAGACATTCTCTGCAGTTAATGGGATGCAGGAATAATTTATTCACTGAATCATGTCGTGCATTGAAAGGAATTTGGAGGCGGTGAGATGATGTGGACTGCATTCTGATACACCTGGCCCAAAAAGCGGTCAGAAAACCCAAATTCATATCATTTTATTTTCAGTTTAATCTCGCATTCATTGATTTTAATATTTAGAATGTATATAATTTATCTTTCAGACTTTGTATATTATCTGCATCAGTTGATGAGAACATTTTACCTGAGATATGATACAGGTGCAAATTTCATCCGGTATGATTTTGTGACTGAGATAAATGAAAATAAGGTTATTTCTGAATAATGACAAGGTCAAATCCATCTTCAGAATCCATGAAATATACATCAGCATCTTTTATACCTGTGACACAGGTAAGAAATTAGCAGACGTCATTTTCTCTTTAACTAATTTTAAAAGTTTTTAAACTTCCTTAAAGCCAAATATTATAACACAAATCAATAATAAACTTATGAAATATTAATTGTTATTTGTTATGAAATAATTTACTCACCTTTTAAGGACCTGGGATTCGCCTGCTTCCTTCGTGACATGATGCGACATCTAAGGCTACAGGTAATCAAACTGATGTAAACTGACCAAAAATGACTCCAGGGAGCATGCGTGCTGCTTCTCAAACGAGGGCCAGGTAAGGGTATCTGAGACGCTGTTTAAACAATCGGGTAAATGAGGACTGTGAATAAAAATCAATCAAGCGGCTATTGAACACTTTGTTCTGTTGTAAAGGATTGTGGCTTCATAATACGAAATACGTTGCATTTGATATCACAACTAATTGAACACTCACTAATTTTTACCTGGTTGACTGAATAACAATAGTTTTAAAATTATCACCTTCATATCTTAGCCATGTAATTGCTCTATCTGTTTGAGCTGATAAAGAAAGAACAGTACTTCGACATCAGAAGTCATTACGATTGAAGATATTTATGAAAAGAACTATAAGAAAAGATACTTGAAAAAAAAAACTTCTCGTTATTTTTTTATTTTTTTCACGTCCACGTAGGTGCAATTGTTTTAAACTTTAACAATCAAATTAAAGAGTTCTTGGGCAGGAAGAAAAAATGAAAGTTATACATAAGAAGCAATTTATTTGAATATATAATTTTTTTTTTTAATGTGTCATGTCCTTTAAAAAGACCTAATATGTATTTATATCATAAACGAAATTAATATTTTACAATTTATCCTATATTAAGAAATACTTCCAAGAATAAATCAGACAGGATTTTTTTTATAAGTAGGATTCGATTTCATTAAAACACTTTATGAAATAGTCATATTTGCGGTTTTGAATGTCTGTTTAAAAACTCGTTAAATAAATTCATTTGAAATATTCTAATCATCAGATGAGCTATGTTAACTTCCTCAACATAAGTATTCCAATACCCAATCAGAAACATATACAATGTATATATGTGTCTCTGACCCATTCTTTATACCTATATGTATATGGTTTATTTAGAATAAAAATAAAGATATAAATGAATAAATTAACATGCAAATATGCAAGTTCATTTCTTTAATTAAATAAATCATTTATTCAGTTTGAATTGTTTATTTCTATTCTATTATAATTAGACAAACTACTAATTTTAACAAGACCTCTAATGCCTCGTCAGCATCAGATAAATAAAAACTTGTCCCGTCTTGTAGTCCAGTCGTACGGCTGATTATCACGACTGTTTCGTCAATAGATTAATTTACCTCCTATGTTTGGTTTGTGACATCAATAAGAACCGTTAGAAACAATAATTTGTAAGTACTTTCGATAAGTATGTTCGATTTTTTTACCTGTAGAAACATCACCGTAATTTTTTTGGAAATGATTCAAGTTTCCATCCTTGGACGAGTTGGTCATATTATTTTAACCATTTCAAGGGTACTAATTATACCCGAGTATTATATACCTTTTATCCTATATCGCTGCAAAAATGTTAATAAGATGTAAGAAGAAAATTATCCGCACGTAATGTTTTTTAAAATTATGACAGTTTTTTTTGTATAACCATAATTGTACCCGTAATTCTTGTGTCTACTTTACTGAGTAAGAAAAACGAAAACAGTATCTTGAAATCGATGATAAGAGAATTAAAATGTGTGTACATTACACGAATTTTAAAATCCCCAGTTCGTGTACAAACAGAGAATAAGTGGGAATTAAGTAAATACGGTTCGGGGATGCTTTACAACACAGTTGTAATACTTTTATTGAAACGGTTGTTTAGCTGGGTATTTATTTGATAAAACGAAAGCGGATAATTATTCTGAAGTCCGTTCATCTGTTTCGTTTCTTTACTCAAGGGCAGCAATACAAAAGTCGATCTAAAAAGGTAGCCATTTAATTACCAGATGACATAATAGAGTTTAACTTTAAACAAAATAGTTACATTTAAAATAAATGTATGTATATATATATACAAATTGTAACTTGAAATAGAAGTTTAAATCAGATAAATTCATTATCTTTTCAAATTAAGAAATGAGACTAGTTTTTCACATTCCTTAATAATCAGAATTAGATATTTATGGAAAAGGGGTAAATCAACTATTATTTCTGGTTATTTGTGTATTGCACGTAATATATTGTAAATCATTTTAATATACACATCACTTGCATTGTGCACTGAATATGCAAGAAACGGACAAACACACATAGATCCATTTTGTTTTAAACATGCGAACGTTTTATGTAATGGGGTAACCAAAGTTATGGTCTTGAGCGTACATGCAGGGTTGGTTTTAATCCAGTAACATGCTTCATGTACACTTAAACCGTTATTATGCATACTATTGTATATCTAACTCTGCACCTACTACTGAATAATAGCATGTATCTTTTAAAAAAAAAGAAAACTTTAATTGGGTTTTCACTCTCACATCAGTGTCATGTGTAGTTCTGCATCATGGAATTGAATAACTATGCAGCAACAAAATTGATATCCACACTATCGAACGTAGAGGAATATATTGCTGAGATCTTTCAAGACAGCTTACCATGGTACCACCTGAATTCAAACCCAGGACAATTATGAATTCACCAAAGACGTATATTATTCACAAACCTACTTAATTATATCCTCATATGTTCAAAGTTAAAATTATTTACAAAATCAGATCGTAAATCTAAAGACGCAAAACAAATGAAAACTAATAAACAAATAAACAAGTGGATATTATTTATGGTAAATTATAAACTGACATCAGTCATCAATGCAGTTTGTCAAAATATTGACATGATTGATACATGGAACTCTTAATTATTAGTCAGTTCTTTTTATGCCCATGTATATCCAGAGAAAGAATCATAAATAATAATATTATCTTTTTTATCAAAATTTATCTGCGATAACATAATTTTTTACAACCTTCCCTTTAACAGAATACTTCGAATTACAATAGTGACATACCATATATATATAATTCTTACATTGGATTGGGGGTGCCTTACCCTGGACACGTTTCCAAGATGTTAGCAAATATAATGTCCAATACGGCCTTTAACAATAGTTCCAATTTGTTTGGTTGCATATCATATAATTTGACTTATAACACGCAAGACATTGCTTAATTGACTGTCGTTCCCTTAACGTACAGTGGCAAATATTACATGCAACTTTGAATTCAGAACGAAAGCAAATTAACAATAATTCCAATGGTAAGCTTCTACAAAGTGTGTCTATAATGATGACGAGTGGCAGTATGATTTCTACTTTCACTGGAAAAGTGGGGTTAGTTGAATAGTGGAGGAAATCGTGCCTTTCACAGGCCACCAATGGACCCCTCAGAGAGATATGTTGCAAGGGTTCTTTAACATGCAGTGCGTCAAACTCTCCATACACCTGACATCGAATTTAACTTCCCCATTCTGATCAGACGTGACTCCGAATTTATACATCCAGCACAACTAAACGAACACCCTCGTGACAGTTGTCACTAGTTGAGCAGAAATTGCTTGCCCTTCTGGAGTACTTTGAGTTTAGTCTGAGATTTTATAGGACTTGCTTAGGCCGTGGGACATCTCGGACTATTTGTGTCCAACTTAAGCTTTTCAATGATGTTCGTGTTGCTTTTGCTTTAGTTATCTTTCTGTGTTTTGTAGTATTTTGAATAGCTAGTTTGGAAATGGTCTTTCCAATCCTCTATCGTGAATAAAACCTCCATTTTCATTTTCAAATGTTCGCATTCGGCCATGCTTTCGGGACAAAAGAGTTAAATGCATGCAGGCACCGATGGTTTAATGTATCTGGAAATGTCTTAGGGTTAGAAAAAAGATGTTTACCAATCTGCTTTGGTATGAGAACTTATTACCGACTACTAGTATATGACTTATTTGTATCAGATTTTAACATATATATTGTGACGCCGAAGGTGTAACAATCTGGGAACTACTAACACTCCTAGGGTGCCTGAAGTCACTCCTTTTCTTGGTGTGGTTTCTGCTGCTCAATCTTAAGTTTTTGAACAGTCTTTTTTTTTTACTGTTTTGTTCGTCTTTTTTAAACATTCTTCCTGCTTTACTCTGGTTTTTTAAATGTCCCTTTGGTATCGTCTTCCCCATGTTTGTCTCTGTAAAATTGGAGCCAAATTTAGACGTTTCTATAGTAAAAGAGAGGCGAAAGATACCAAAGAGACATTCAAACTCATAAGTAGAAAATAAACTGGCAATTAATTAACGCCATGGCTAAAAAAAAAAAGAAAAAGACAATCAGACAAACAACAGTACACAAAACACAACATAGAAAACTAAAAGACTGAGCAAAACGATACCCAACAAAAACTGGGGGTTGATCTCATGTGCTCCGGAAGGGTAAGCAGATCCTGCTCCACATGTGGCACCCGTCGTGTTGCTCATGTTAGAACAAACCCGGTAATTAGTCTAATTCGGTAGATCACATTCGGGGAAAAGGTGACGGGGTTGTAGTTACGACAATTGGAACATACCCGCTGTCATCTGTGAAACGGATATTCCATAACGGTCAACCAACTCGTGATATCGTCCAAAAATTTAACGAAGTGATGATTTCAACTTCACCACTTGGAACTCTTGGTTTGATAGCTTCCTCGTCAGCAGCAACCCTCTATCAAGGAAATCATGATAGGAAATACAAGCCCTGGAATATCGTATCAACTGGGAGATATATACTCCGTATGCAGGCGCTGCTGGAATGTTGCTACATAAAAATGGAAAGTTCACAATTGGGAAGCTGAAATCATCTCTTTTGTCGTAAAGTTTTGTTTTCAAACGACCCTCATTGTCAAATTCTAGATGTAAGTCAAGATATGAGGTAGACTTAACTGTATCTGTTGTATCCTTTATCTCAAGTTTAATGGGATAGATGCGTTCAACATATAGTCACCAAATTTTGAATTATTTACTGAGAGGACATCATCTATATAGCGGAAAGTAAAGTTAAAGGATACTGCTAACTTCTTTTCTTTCTATATAAGAAGTTGAAGTCCTAAATCGCTTAAAAATCAAGCATTGTGGCCACATTTCGATATGTATCACAAAAAGGCATATAAGTAGCAAAACTAGAACGGTAGCTAGCCATGTCATTTGTTCGTGTGCTTCTTTAAATGAAGATACCACTTTTCCGAACTAATATTCATCAGGAACACTCTTAGCCAAAAAAATTGAAATCCAAGGATGTATAAATAC